ACCGAGTCATCGTATCTGAAGTTGGGTCATCACTGCTGGCCGGAGTTTTTAGAGGATTTCCTGGTGAAATGAAAGCTCTTTAAACCGACTCCTGCTTCTCAAAGTGTCAGCGTGACACAGTGACTTCCTTTCAAAGTTCTTACCATGTTCTGCTTTGTCCAGCAGAGACAGCCAGAAAAATCCAAATTAAAAATCCCTTAGGAGCTACTCTTTGGGGCGCGTGGCCAGTCCACCCTGTCCTCAGAGTGGCACATCCTGCATGTCGTACACGCCCCATCCCACCGAGTTCGCTGAGGATTACACCGAAAACCGCACTCTTAGGGAAGGATCTGCCCGGCCACCACAAGCTGATTCATTATTTATGTACAATTAAAGGGCAGGGTTCAAACGAATGCCAGCATCTGGGGACAGTCATTATTCATGTGTGGATCAGATGGAGCACTTGTCATTTCTTTGGTGACTTAACACACTCCCTGTGCCTTGGGACCTCAAATCATATTAAGCAGAGGAGACGCCTTCTCTCTCTTTTTTGGTTGAATTATTGGCCTTATTCTGCTTTCTCAGATTATTTGGAGGCATTTAAAATGAGCCCCCGCTTCCCCTTAATATATTAAAACAGGAAAGGAGGGAAATTTCTTTTTAGAACCTATTGCATTCTAAAGAGGAATGCAAATTATTGTACTGTGATTCTTAATGACCCACTATTAACATGGTAGGAAGCCCCATGCGTGGATGCAGTACCTCTTTTCACATCATTACTCCTAATGGAACTGTTACCAGGATAATAGCTCGACCTTTAGCTATAGATTCAGGTGGCAGGAATGTATTCTGCCGCCTGCATACCTCTGTTCACGTAGCCTATCGACTGCTTTCCGATCAATGCAATGGCAGTCTTTTGGCCTTGTTCTCAGACCTCATCTGCGATTGTAATGGAGAGAATAGGATTCCGTTTTCAGTAGGTAAATTCCAGTTAAAAAGTCCCTTTTAAGTTGGGATGTAATCCATGAACTAGAACGTCAATAACCTGCCCAGTGGAAATCTTTACGTGTATGGGTATTTTTCGAGAAGCCCGTCACGGCGCCTTCAGACATAGACCCACGAGACAGCGATTCTCTGAGCTTCTTTCTATTGAAACCAGATAAGTTTTAAGGAAAGGAGAGAAAAGTAACAAGAAACGGTTGCCTTTTTAGTGAGCAGCAGAATACCTGAGCTCACGGTTAGATTAGGAAGCCCCTGGCGGCCTGGGGGAAGACGTCCCACGTCCCCTCTGGCTGTCCTAAACTTGCCACCCATGGAGTCATTTTGATGACGCCACAGTCCAAATCTACTTTGTTAATTTGGAGCCACTACTTTCTAACGTGTGATGATTTGAACACATGTGTTTCACAATCCAAGGAAAGAGAGGTTGCTGTGGAATTTAATTGTATAAGTAATGTCACAAGGGAGATGTTTACCTGCTAAGACTGTGTACCCAGTCATTTTCATATAAACAAATAGGGTGCTAAATATGAATTTTTTTCTGTTTATTAAAACAGCACTTGAACCTTTTCAGAGTTCTTTGATTGGTAAATATTATTATGGGCATTTGAATATAATAAGGCCTTGTTTCTTTAAATACATCCTATTAATTAAGACTTCCTACTAATGCAGATAGACTGGTTTCCCCAATTAGTCTAAGTTTGTGAGCTACTGTCTTTGCTTCCATTAGAAACAAAACTGGACAATATGTTTATTTATTGAATGTTTATTGAGTTCTTATTCAGAACAAGACACTCTAATAGGTGCTTAGAGGGAGACAAAAGAAATGAACACCCTGAAGGTATTTATAACCTGGTGTCAGATTTAAAAGCACGCCCACTCTTAGGGACATGGCTCTCTTCTCTACAACATCTCTCCCAGGTGGGGGCTGCTTCTGCCCTCTGCCTGGCTGCATGCTCCCTGTCGTAATTCTGCTTCCTGACTGTCACCCCTGCTCAGCCCGGGCAGTGATGGGACATTTCTGCCCAGGCTCTTATCACGGCTGTACGTCTCCATCTGCTCCCAGGTCCTGCTGTCATCTTTGATAACGTCCCTGTCCACACCAAAGTGTCATTTGACCCCCTGGCCACATGGTTTTGGGGCCTCATCCATGGTGACATCTGCCTCTCTGTAATCCAGCCTGCACCGTCAGCCTCGCTACTGCTGAGGCCACGTTGTACGCTCCAGGGTCTTGGGACAGTTCCTCCAGCTCCACGGCCCCCACCAGCCAACCCCATTGCCGCCTCCATTCCCCCATCTCTGTATACCTCCAAGTCCACGAGCCTTGTTCTGGCTTCGCTTCCTTCCCAGATCTTGGGGGTGACAAACAGGGGAGGTAGTGGAAAGCTGGGTTAATTCATTGTAGGTAACACCTTCACCAACATCTTCAAGGGCTTTGTATTCCCTGTTCTTCGGCCAGGATTGTCCAGCAAAATCCCGAGCCTAGACCAGCCCTGCCACCCCGTGTCCCAGACAGGAGCTGCAGCCATCAGCCCCCAGCAGGTTCCTTCCTCCTCCTTTCCCACGCCCTGTGTCCTCCTGCCACACGCTGATCCGTCAGCACTCGGGTGGCTTGAGCCCTTGTCCTTCGGCCATCCCTGTCGGGGCCAGGTGTCCTGGGGGTGTTATCCGTGGCCACCCTCCCCAGCCCTCACTGACCCTCAGTGGGCATGTCCCAAGCCGCCTTCTGCCCCTCAGACCACTTGATGGCCTTTATGAGGCCACTGTCACTCCTGTCTGGCCGGACTGTCCCCCCCCCTGCCCCCAGCTCCTGCATGGCCGCCTCTGCCTTCTCCATTTTCTCAGCCTAGGCATTCTTCTCCATTCCTGGCTGGGCCCAGGGCACTTTTCACTGTGTCCTCTGTGCTTAATGTTCTCTTGTGTTAGTGACGACATGTATTTGTGCCTTTCAACCCAGTATCTTCAACCTGGCCCCTTCCCAGAACTGTAGCCTTCTCTGTCTAAATGTGGTCGGCCCTCTGTGTCCGCGGGTTCCATATCCACGGATTCAACCAAGCACAGATGGAAAATATTAAAAAAAAAAAAAAAGGAAAGAAAATAGCGAGAAATAACAACACAACAATAAAAACTACAAATAAAAATATCATAATAACTATTTACGCAGCATTTACATTATGTTAGGTATTAAAAGTAATCTAGAGATGATTTGAAGCATACAGTGCGTAGGTTATATGCAAATACTGCCCCATTTTACATCAGAGACTTGGACACTCGAGGATTTTGGTATCAGCTAGGGGTCCTGGAACCAGTTCCCTGTGGACACAGAGATGACTGTATCTGCTGGTCACCTCCACACAGGTACCCACAGACACCCCAAGCTCAGCATTGCTCCACATCACGCCTGCTGTGTCCTGCTATGTCCCCATATCACATGATTAACTGAAACATGCCACTTATTCGAGAGGCTCTAGAAACTTCGTTAGCTCAGACTGTTGTAATAGCCTCCTTAAAGGGGAGTGCCCCCCAACCCCCCGCTGCCTCTCTGGCCCCCTCAAATCTGTCAACCTCTGTCAATAGCATTTATCTTTTCCTGCACAATTAGGTTGTTCACATTTGTTTGATAGAAGAGATCACATAGATGACTTCTTTCCTTCTTTCAAATTATTTTCTTGGGATTAATTTCTAGGAGTAAGATCACCAGTCCCAAGGGTGTGACAGTTTCGGGTCTCTTATCACATAGTGCTCCTATTTCCCAAAAGAGTTTTGCCTCGTTATGCCAACAGTAGTGTCTGCATGTACCACGTCCCTGCAATTTCATCAATATAGCGTATTAGCTTTGTAACGTTATTCTAACTTCATAGGAATACAGTATATTTTGCAGTTCTTAGGTTTACATATCAGTTCAACATTTTTCCTAATGTTTTTTATTAAATATGCTTTGCCCATTTATCTGTGGGTACTTTCAAATGAGCTTCTTACCCAGTGGTAGAGATTAGACTCTTGGGGTCCTATTTAATGCAACTATCTTTTCTCATCCTGATGTTTATTTTTCATTCAACAGAAATTTTACACGTTTCTCTAGTTGAATCTGTCAATATTTCCCTTTGCCGTTTTCTTTTTAAGAGAAACCTTTTAAAACATTAAAATCACCAATATTTTAAATGCCAAAGAGGCAGCGTGATGTGACTACATGCTAGATCTTGACCTCACGGAGACCAGGTTGGAAAGACGATTTAAAAAGTGCTCAGGAACGAGCGGGAGGCAGAAATGTCAACACCAGCCCCTCGCATGCGGTCGCACAGTCACACGCTGTGCTGTGCGCACGTTCATAAGATAATTGTTCTGCCTCCCTTTTGTTCTGTCCTAAGCTCCTCCATAGCTTCTTTTGTGCTTAACAGGGTTAGCTCTTTCCCAGGAGCTGGTGCAGCGCGCAAGGGGCTGACTCGAAATAGATTTGGAACTTCCTTTGCGACACCAACTGCATTAGTATTTATTTTGAGCAACAATTGGGTGCTCAAAATAAATAATCGGTAGGAACCACCATGAAGACATCACCTTTTGTGTAATTTTTGCATTTGATTTTGTACTGCCAATAAAAAAGTGAAATCTTTTAATACGTTTGTTGACCCTTGTCATGGGGCCAGTGGACCCTTAAGAAGCATTTTCCATCCAGACCGTTAAAACTCCCTCGGTATCAAAATTTAAAAAATAAATAAATAAAAACAAAAGAAGTAAAGAAGAAAAATTATATATATAAAAAAAATCACACACACGGAAGTAGAAAGAACTGTTAATACTTACTTAGCGTTTGTAGCCAGTTTCATTGTGAAGCACAACACTTTGGATGTAGCCAGGGCTGCATCTTTGCCAAAGGAATATAATAAGGATATTGAAGATATGCCATGCAGAACTCACATCCTTTAGAAATACACTTTTTTTTTTCTTTTTGGGATATATTCCCATTTCGGATCTGCATATTTGATTTGTTAAAGTATTTAACAATGTTTCACATTTTCTTTCAGTCTTCACAGAAAAGTACTGTACAGCTAACCATGTGGATAAACTTCCTGGCCCCAGAGACTGGGTGCAGATTCTACAGGATCAAATTAAACTGGCCAGAAGAAGGTTAAAAAGAGGCTCAGGTATGAATAAGGTGCAAAAAATAACTGCAGAGGCATTTGATCGAATTCTTAGATTTTATAAAGTACAATGCTTTGCTCTAGGGGATTTCAGTGTCTTTTGTCTTTTGAAGAAGAAACTCTGTATACTACGCCAGGGTTTGCTATTGTAAAGTCTTATTCCAATGGATTGTGAAACTCATTTTAGGATTAAATAGTAAAAATTATGTCAGGACGTTTGCTTTGAGTAGCCCAAGTGAAAAAGATTGCTAATCTCATTCGTGGTCTAATGTGCCTTGTGTGTAAAAACTGGATCTCTCTTTTGTGGTTTGTTTCAGTTTGCCTGTTGATTTTTGCTTGTTTGTGTCTGCATGACTTTATAAAAGTACTAGTTGCTTAAGGTAAAAAAAAAACAAAAAAAAAAAAACACCATATCTCATAGTGATTTTAAGTTGTGTGTGTGTGTGTCTATGTTTAAAATTCTGGGCTTGGCAATTCTGGGATTATTCTTCCAGGAAAAGTGAACACCAGTTGAATTGTGATTATTGTCCGATGCTGAGATCAGTTATTTTAAGTTCTGATCTCTCTTCCCTTCCACCTTCCCACCTGCAAACACGTGTGCACGTAGTAGGGACGAGCCTGCACGTGCTTCCTCCTCTTCCCACGAGCATCCCGGCCAGCGAGCACATTTCCTGACCTCCTCTCATTTCTATTAATAATCCACACTGCAAGTGCTCATTTTCCCCTACATTTGCCTATTTCTGCATAATGGAACTCAAATGGTAGTCTGCCCCACCCCCACCCCCATCCCCAGGCCTCAGAATATGACCTAGGACGTCGTAACTTTTGGCCACTGGCTTAGATCGTCTGCCTAGATACTTGAAATGGGGACCTTGGTCCTTCTCTTCTGCACTTTCCAGCAGGTTCTATTCATGACTGAGAAGTGGAAGGCACTTGTAAGACAAAAACCAGCCCTGACATGCAGACCCAAATGATAACACATCAGCAATGACCTGCCAAATAGAGTTTGTCTCCCAATTTTGTCAAATACTGTTGCACATCATTCTCCCTGAGCAGTAGAACAAGCAGTCCCCTAGCAAACGGAAACCAGAGCCACTTGCATTATTTCCTTCGTGACGCTGATAGGCACTGAGAGGTCTGGATCAATACTGTGACCTGTTCTCGTGCTTTCTGTCTTGATTGTTTTCAGTCTAAATGATAATACAAACAGCGCCTCCTAGACACGGCCCAACTGCAACCTGATTTATCCTATTTGGCTCCATCGTTGGAATTAGGTTCAGACTCTGCAATCACCCGACAGCTTAAGGAAGCCAGCGATGCCTCTAGAAAAAACAAGTACCCCACACAGATGTGAGGGGTCCTTATGCGAATCCAAACAGAAATTCACTGGGGGCTCTCTCATCACATGTAATGATTTTTTTTTTTCTATAACTGGAATGATTCCTTTCCTGGTGTGAATTTTTATCATTTTCATTAGATGATTTCCTCAGAGCTGAAATCACAATTGATTATTTGTGTTAGATCTCAGAGAAAGATGTCGCTGCTATTAAATTTTTATTGGATTTGCTCAATCTTTTCCAAATTTCACAACTTGATTGTCACCAGGGAAGAAATATTGTGAGCTTGCTGGTACAGAAAGATGTTATAATTAAATTTGAATAGCACAGTGATGTTCTTCATCCATGTCTCTGAGCCTGTATTTATGCAGCTAGCACATACTAATTTATATATATATACATATATATATACATACATATATATTTGGTTGTGTGTGTTCTGTTCTCATAAAAGCATATCATTGCACAGTCCTGTTATGTAAAAGTGAGGATAGCTGAATCACATAAGGAAGATCAGTTTATACACCAAAACTGATTTTTGTTATAATTAAATGAAAAGCAATTATACATGATTCATTTTAAAGTATAAAATGAACTGAAACTTGAAAAATGTAAAAAAAAATTACCTCATAATAATACATATGGTATGTTTGGACTGTTAATAGCAAAAAGAGCCCAGACATTAACTCAATGCACATCCTTGGCATTGTCACATACTAGCTATGTCACCACAGTAAGTTTCATAACCTCTTTCTATCCCAGCTTCCTCATTTCTTAAAATGGGCATAACAACAGAACCACCTTGGAGGTTTTTCTAAGGGTTAAATGACACATTGCTTGTAAAGTACTCCGTAAATGGTGAGTATTTAACACATTACGTGCCTTGTGAGTTGTATTTAACTCACGCTAGTTTTGAGCCTGGGGCCTCATAAAGCGTATGTAACTCATATGTCTCTTTACCTTGGGGAGCTACACGAACTATTTTTCAAGTTGCATATAACTCAAGCACAGAAAATAATAAAAAATAACAAATTTTTCATTGAATTAAAAAGGAATTTTTTTTTGAGACAGAGTCTCTGTTGCCTGGGCTAGAGTTCCGTGGCATCAGCCTAGCTCACAGCAACCTCAAACTCCTGGGCTCAAGCGATCCTCCTGCCTCCTGAGTAGCTGGGACTACAGGCGCATGCCACCACATCTGGCTAATTTTTTCTATTTTTAGTAGAGATGGGGTCTCGCTCTTGCTCAGGCTGGTCTCAAACTCCCGAGCTCAAGTGATCCTCCCGCCTCGGCCTCCCAGAGTGCTAGGATTACAGGCGTGAGCCACCGTGCCCCACCAGTATGTCCTGTATTTTTTCTGTAAACCTATTAACAAAACTTTAATCAGTCCATTTATCCTGGTGTTTGACTTGAATATTTTCATGTTATTAAATACTCATCTACAACGTTTATTTAAGTGGTTTCTGATCTTCTCCAGCCTAAATTGGTCTGGAATATTCTGCCTCTTCTCAGCGATTTCTCTTTGTGGTGAATCTGGCAGGTCAGCAGAGAGGGGTCCTTTCACTCATGCTGGTGTATGTCCAGTGTGAGGACAGGATGTTAGGGGGTGGCCGAGAGTGTCTCTAGCCATCTCGAAGCCCTAATTATATTTAAAGCCACCGCAACAAAAACAAGAACACTGTGTTAGTTTTGCTTTCCACCAGTTCAGCGTCACAATGGATACCAGTGGCAGCTGTCACTGGACTGGCCTCCCTGGGTGGCCCTGTGCACACATACGCAGTCAGCAGGAAATGTCAGTGGGGCCCACTGACCCTGGGCCATAGAGGGCCCCACCAAAGTCATCCCAGTGGCCACAGTGCAATATTTTCCCGTTCCCAGCATGTTAGGGGAGACTGACAAGCCCATCAGTTCTCGGGAGACACATGGGAACCTTCATTCTTGCATTGAATGGAATGTTTTTTGGCAACTAAAGGATCTACCTTTGGAGAACTCCTAAGGAGATTGAAACATATCAAAAATAAACAAAGGTTTGCAGTTTAAAACATAGAAATGAAGGATCTTTTGAAGAAATAGATACATCTTCCTCCTTCATGATTTTCTTCATGACTAAATTGATGCCAAAGTTAGATTGGCAGCTCTGTGATCTGAAGTTTCCAGTCATCTCCAAAACAAGGTTCATTCTCCCGTTCAAGTACGAACCGGGCCCTACCCTGCTTGGCTTCCAAGATCAGACAAGATCGGTGCATTCAGGGTTGCATGGCTGTAGATGTCATTCTCAAGGTTTCATAGGCCACTCCACCCCTCAACGGTTCTGGGAATGACAAGTGCAGTTCTGCAGTAGAAATTCACTGACCTGGGGGCCTTCCATGAGCATATTTAAACAACTCATGCCAGATGCTGGTTGCATATTTAAGCCTATGTGAATAAGTGAAAATGAACTGTAATCATCAATGATCAATAAAATAGGTTCATAAGATTTAAAATTTTTTAATCCAAATTGATTTGATATCATCATCATGAAAAAATATTTTATTTTAAATAACCACACTAAAATCAGGACTACGAACCAATATGTACAGCTAAAAGGGGAAAAAAAAGGCGAAAACCTTCCTTTGTTATGTATACTGGAGGTTTTTTTTAATTGTGTTACTGTTTTCAGCAAAATGAATGTGCTCCCTGAAACTAATGAGATTTGTGTTTTGTGTTTGTAACCAGCAGAGGTAGCTGACGGTGATGAAAGACTGGACGGAGTTTCTCTACCACCAACAGGTAAATAAAATGCATTTACATTTTCAATCCCCGCTGGAAAATACAGCACACAAAAATATTTGCATTGAAAATGCTTTCAACGTGAGAGATATGGATGATTGAGCCATTGCTTCTGCAGCAGACCCAGAACCCTAGTGTTTGGAGCTTCTCGAGGCCATGTGTTCAGAGATATTTTTCACATTGAATGTAAAACGTATGAAAAGCTACATTTTGCTCACTCTCTGTTTCATAGGCATAATTTGCTCTCAGAAGAGCAAATCCTAGGAACTAAGTGTCACATCTTGCCTCTCCAAACCTTTGGATATTCAAAAATATCTTAACACAAAATGAGATCTCACTTTAGAACAGGGATCACCAATTTTGTGTGATCTTATTCACGCTCACTCTGTCCTCTCCCACCTCCTCCAAAAGGTGGTGGAGCCTTAAGAAGTTGGTCATGAGACACCCAGTGAATACTGTGTTTTAACTGAGTCATTGAATAAGCCCATGCATCCAGCGCGAGTGGCACATTCCTAACACTGTGACCACATCAGCCAAACACAGCCTTTCACTGAGGCATCTGCTCACACGGTTGTGTTAAGCCATAGGCATAATTCTGACTTCACATTATTTGACTTCTAAGTAATGCTTCTGCCCCTGGCCTCCTGCGTGTGTCTTGGTTCATATCTGAGAGCCGCAGGGACAGGTGTCTGATCAATGAGCCATGCGTTAAGCAATTTATTCCCTCAGTTGGTCTCAGGACTCTTTGTTGACTGCCCTCAAAAGAATACTGCAAGATTCTCTGTCCACAAAAACCCAGACACCCCAAGGAACCCTCTAACTGAAAAAGCTCAACTCGTGTTTTTTTCTCTAGATGGAGGGGGGGTATATTTTTAATTAAATTCAGCAAATGTTAGTGGAGTATCCAGTCTGTGTAGGAACTCTACTAGGTCATGTGTCCATTGATAGCACATACCCCAAGATGGCAGCAAAGGCCAAGTTCATGGGTGCAGGGTGGGCATGTGTTAGTGAACTTCAGAGCAATAAGAAATGTCAGCCATGTAAGTGACACATGGCTTTCTCTGTCATCGAGTAGCTAAGCAACAGATCAATAGACAAGTAAAAGAAATGAGCCACGTAGTGCAAAAAGGACCTGCTTATATCAAGTCCTTGCCATAGACAGTCATTACATGAAAGGGATTTCTCTTCATTTGCTGTGTTTCCACATGTGTGAATTAAGAGAATTGAAATGCATGCTCTCTGTTGTTCCTTCCCAATCTGTCATTCTCTGAATACCGGGGCAACTCATCTCAGCCTCATTCTCCTCACCTCTCGTCCTTTCCCAGTAGATGCATGAGTCACTGATCACAGCAATGAAACAGTGGGGGTCAGGGGACCCCCAACATCCCGCCTTTATAACTGTGCCTGCAGGGGCGGTCTCCCCAGCTGGCTGCAGGCTCTGCACTGCCTGTCCTCCCTGTGTCCTGTGACACAACGGGCTTTGTTTTATTATCTAAAGCCACTCCCCTTGAAGCGGTACCTTCGCGTGCTCCTATGTGAACATGGAGCTGGCGATATTTCAGATGAGAAAATTGAAGAGCCCCGTGGAAGTGAAAAAAATTGTCAAGGAATCTGAGAATGAGAAGGAACTTGAGAGATTGTCTCGTCTCATCCCTTCTTTTTATCCAGTCCTTTTATTTTACAGGCAAAAAGCCCGAGGCCCAGAAACATTAAATGACTTTCCCAAGTTCTCACAGCTGGCTGATGGGCTGGCCGGAGCCCAGCTCCCTCGACTCCCAGCCAGGACCGCGTGTGGCCCTCTTAGACCCAAGCCAAGGCCAGCTTTCCTCTCTGCATGTTGCTCAAAGATTCCGAGCCGATGGATGTACTAATCCCTTTGAAGATTCCATTTCAGTGTCTCAGTTTTCACAATGTAGAATATTCGTCGCGTAGTCTACTCAAGTTCACCGCAGTTTAAAGCTCATTTATTCGAGTCCTTTCTCTAATTTTGCCCAAGGCTGTGAGGTCCCGATGAAGAAAGTAGTAGTAGAACACAGCTTCAGGTCTTTTCGCCAGACTGCTGATAGATATTGGATACAAATTGCTAAACAGCATGATGAATAAAAACGTTTATCATTTAGAAAAAGGGGGAAAGAAGTCACAGGTTGGTGCTCAAATTTTGCAGTAATAAAATTCAATAATCTTGATAGTCTAGCATGTCTGTTAATTGCCTCTCTAAAGTAAAACCCCCTAGTCTGGTTGGCTTCTTTGGAAGTGCTGCTGCTACTAATAGCCGCTGCTCACATGTGCGCCAGCCACTCTCCTTGCACATGGAGCTGCATCCTTGAACTTGAGCCTCACTGGTTCAAACCACTGGAGCGACCCACGGGCTCTGATCCAGACCTTCATTATCTCATTTATCTGAGCTGGCAACAGTTAGTCCTTTTTAAAGATTCAACAATCCCTGTATTCCCTTTTTAAGATCTTTTTTTTCTCCTTCCAAATTTGTGTGTGTTAGGAAGGGGCAGTGTTTCTATGAATCAGAAGTGACCAGGCCAGGGTTACAGTCAAATGGTCAAATGACATTTGTTTCGATCCATTCGATTAAAGCAAACTTCTATGTGTCATGTCAAGCTTTCACAAAAATGGAGGCAGATTCTATAGTGGAGAAATATATTTTCTTTATTTATTTTCTCCTCAACCCTGTTCACTAAGCCTTTTTGAGCAGCTACCAGGAGCCAGCACTGTGTTGGGTTTTGGAGTCCACTTTCCCCACCCTCAGATTATCACAAGAGGCAGAAGCAGTTACACAAATTCTGCAGCCCAGATGTGCAGAGAGTGCCTGGGTAACCAAGAGAAGCCACCCAGGAACTGGGAACAATTTGCATTTGAAAAGTATCCAGAGAGTAAAATCGAAACAGTACTGTCTAAAATTTAAAACGGGGCTTCTGAATTTGAAATAGGGTGATGTTCATCTGGGCTTAGCAATTATTGTCATAAATTCTTATAAATACTTTTCTTTTTAAAAGTTAACAAAAGTATAAGGAATAACATTTAAATCGATTTTACCATCAGAGACAACCACTATTGGATGTTTTTTTCCCAGAATTTTCTCTATATTTATTCTATTTATACAATGGAGATGTAACGCATAAAATTTTGTTTCTTGAGTTTTTTTGTTTTTTGCCTAACAGGCATTTTTCATTGTATTACAGGTCTCCATATGCCTTATTTTCATAGCCACATGCTGTTGTTTTGCAGGTGAATCATATTTTATGTAGCCATTTTCTATTACTGGGCAATATATGGACATACTCTAACAGTAATACTCATTCATGGGTTGTTTTGTAAAAAAAAATAATCATTTATAAATTTCTAATTCCTACTGTTGGTCATTTAGTACAACTAAAGGCTTGGCTGCAAACTTAGTGACTTAACTCGGAAACACGGGCACGTCCCCAGTAAGCTCTCACTTGTCCAGGACGCCCAGCTGCAGCCATGTCCCTGTTGTAGAAAAGTGTACAGTTCTTCCTTAGAGGAGTGGCTCCCCCCTTCATTGTCTTGTCTCTGTTGTAGGTAATATATTTGACACCAGGAGAGAAAACACGGAGGACACAGAACCAGGTTTCGTTGCCTAGACCTCCCTTTTAGTGACACTGTTCAGTAGCAAATGTAACTCTTCCGTTGGAATTTGCTCAGAGATCCGTGTAGCATTTCAGGTTCCTGCACAATGTGAGTGTTCTGTGAGGTTGACCTGTCACGTTGGGATAGTCTCATATGCTTTCTCTGTCATATGTGATCATCAAGCCTCCAATTTGGTGTAAGGTTTTTTAAAATCCTTTTTAGAGTTGATTGGTTACCCTTTGAAGACCCAGCATACGATCCAGTTAGTTCATTGTCCTTTCTGAAGAAGTGGTTCTCTCGTCCCTGTTTTTATCCAAGACCTCAACGTGCATATCCGGAGCCTTGAAGCATATTTATTTTAGTGTAAATTGCTCAATGTGGTATACAGGGGCTTGGCTCTCGAGGGTGCAGAGAGAACAGTCATGAAGGCCAAAGTTAATCAGCCTTTCATCAGCTTAGAAGATGAGAAAGTTGTTCTGGGAGACAGGAGAGCTCTGACCTGTGATATGAAATTAATTTATGACGTCAGTGCCCCCCAAAATAGCCATTTGTAACTGAGTCAGTGTAAATGACATATGAATTTTTAGGAAAGAAAAAGTTTTCACCTAAGTTGCAGCAACACAAGGACAAATTAACTAATGAAAAGATAAAAAAAAAAAACTCAACGTAATCAGTTATCTACATGATACCTGACTACCATTTGAACAGATGGTTTTAACTGAGTGGTTCAGGGTTTTGGCATTGTGTGACAACTGGCCACAAATGCCCTTAATATTAAATAGTTTACTTGGTTCCTAGTACACTCACCCTCTACTTGCATAAAACCAACATATGAAAATCTGGATTTATTTTAAAGAGATATCTTGCCATGTGAATATTTGTGTTACAGAAATATTTACCTCCAGATATTTTTTCTCTAATAAAATGGTGAATTTAAAATACTGTTTTATTTAGAAATACTGTATTTACACCTCATTTATTATATAAAGCAAATTGCCTTGAATGTTTGATGTTTGACCCAAAGGCCAAAAATTGGCATGAAAGAAATTTGGACTGTAGAGCCACCAGGCCAAGGGTTCAGGACTGCTGGGCTGGCAGTTTAACTCCTTCCCCTAGCTCTGATGTCATCAAAGCACAGAAAGTCGGATATCAAAGTTATATCCAACTGGAGGCCACTCATTCCCACCCCTCAGGTGGGGAGGTTGAGGAAGAGTGAGGGTCGTGATTGCCTGGGGGCCACTTAATTTATCAGTGGCCACCCCGGGTAGAATCCGAATTTCATTACTACCCTGTGCAAGGTACTAATGTCATCACACTGAGAACCTAAACCCAGAGAGAGAGAGAAGAGGGGCGCTCTGGAATAAATCTGTATTCCACTAAAGACCAGCTAATCAACTGAAGATGAGGCCAGACATCCCTGTAATGTGACAAAAAGCTGGTTTGGGGTGTGGCCTGTGGAAATAGTCTAACTACTAGACAAGTCACATCTCGTATATGCGTGTCTTTTATTTTTCTCCTTCTTGAAGCTCTAAGGAAGGTTCAGAGAAATTATTTCCAGCCTATCTTTTAGTTAGTCTTTTCCATCTCTGGCCAGGAAGTAATCCTTCCCTGAAAACCAGTCCCTTTGTTTCATCAAGTGGCCCGAGGAAGTGCTGTGAGCCTGGGCTTTTGTTTCTTTGCAGCATATGTTTTAAAATTTGTCTTCTGCCTCCCAGAAGGAAACATCTCTCGCAAGGGAATAGAAAAGATTAATTAGCGACCTTTCACTCTCTTAAAATATGATGAATATGTTGCTAGTAAAGGTAAAAACATTTACTTACAGCTGTGTGTCTGTTCAGTATGCACCACGAACCTTCAGACAGCACTTCCTTCCAAGGCTGGCCCGCAGCTTGGAGCTGTCAATACGTGAGGAGGGGCGGGGACTGTTCAGCTCCCAGATAAATGTGCAATGGATCCACACATTGGAAATACATATCAAAACCACGACCCTAAAATCATATTTTGTAAATTAAAATTGTTATTTGTGTTTACTTACTGTGACTACTGTTCAGACTTTATTCAGAAATCCTTTTTATAGGCTTTCTTAGCAAAATAAATAAATTCCTTATCTATGTATGGATACCGTCTCAATCTTCTGTATATATGTTTTATGAATGTGTAAATATTTAGATTTTTTTAAAATGACTCTGTTCTTTCAAAAAGAAATTCAGCGCAAGGCTAGTTGTGAAAATGGTGTGTAACATTTGTGTTGTGATGTCAACTCCCAAGATGCTCTTTAAGTCCCTTCGGGAAGATTACAATAAATCACTTTAATTGAACACGCCTGTGTGCCCGTCTTCCTGTGTTTATAAGACGAGTTAATGCTGTTCATTAATTAAAAGGAATATATTAATACTCTGGTGATCTTCCACAGAAGTTCTGTCTCCTTATGAAGTCAGTTTTTAAAAATAATGAAACCGAGCAGATTTGCTACCAGACAAGAGCCTTCCAATTCAGGCGAAGTCGCAGGCGGTTAGATCAATGGCTACAGCGGGTCCCACAGAAACACTTGAGCATTAAGTACCGAGATGCTTGAAGCCTAATTTTAAATGAATTAGGTAGCTTTATAATCTTCACTTAAAAGGTTAAGCCCTGCTTCTATGGAAACAACACATCGGAAGGACAGATCAATCTCTTCTGATGCAAAGTGGCTGCCCAAACCTAATCTCTGTCTTCCCCTCTTTGAACACAGGGGGGCGCTGCTCCCCACTGGGCCTGCCCAGCGCCGGCCCTGGGGCGTGCGGCACCCCGCTGGGATCTGGCTCCATCCAGTCAGTCTGAGGTTCAGAGTCTGTCCCTCGGACCCTCATTTGGGCAGCAGCCAGGGGAGGTGGGCCTCGGCGGGGCAGGACAAGGGAAGGGGCGCCGCAGGGGAGCTGGAAGCCTGGCTCCTGCCCTCCCCTCTTGCCACCATGTCCCCCGCTTCACTGTCCCCTTCATGTCCATGAAATTGCTTGTTAAGGGGCCCATGTCATACTGTCTGGCTCAAGGGCCCTGGCATGCCCTTCCCCCACACGCTGGCAGGGATTGTGTTTTGTAGGTAGCTGGGAACAGCCCAAAGGCCTCGCTAATCCAATGGCGTGGGGACCCGTTTCGCCATTGGAGGCTCTGGAAGGTGATGCTGGCACACCTGCCTCAGGTGTGACCCCTCCTATAGGCCTGGCCCTGCCGAGTGATGGGCAGACACAGCTAGCTCATTTCCTGGCTGCGCCCAAGCTCAGCTCCACCATTTCCTGGACTCCAAGGGCCAGACATGGTGACTTAGGGTGACCAGGGCTGGGATGGGAGGGACAGAGGGCGAGAGCCCAGCTCCCAGGCCTGAGCGAGCCATCCCCAGAGCTTAGGACCACGGGGCAGCCACCGAAGCATTCGAAGTAAAGGGTCTTGCTCAGGCTCCGGTTCCGTATCCAGCCATCTGGCGGACCTAGGGGGCGCCCACTGGGAGTGGCAGGGATGGGAGCCAGGAGTCCCACGAAGAAGCTGCTGGAAAAGGCCCCAAACCGGAGCCTGAGAAGGAACCCAACCCGCAGGACCTGGTGACTATTTAGCCGGGGCTGGAGAAGGGAGGAGGCTTCAAAGCTGACACCCAGGCTTCAGCCTGGGGACCTGGGAAGGTCACTTGCACTAAGTTTAAGGACCAGGAGGAGGAACAGCCTGGAGAAGGAGGACAGGTGAGTTCAGGTCCAGATGTTGCCCATCCATTCAGCCCACAGGCGCTAACAGTGGGCCCCGTGCTGTTCCAGGGCTGGGAGCACAGCAGTGAGCAACACGAAGTCCCTGACACCGTGCCACGAGAACAGGGACAGACAGACAGCGGGACTCTGCGGGGAACACCAGCTCGTGAAGCCTGTTAGTTCCCCGAACAGCCTTACTAGAGAGGAGGGGGCTTTAGACTGGGGATCTTTGTCCCAGACAGACACTGTCACGATTTGAAGCACCATTCATTCTTCATAATTCAGGTGTCGGCTAAACTTGACCATCCGAGAGGGATCCGTGACTGTCCCCTCACGGGTAGCACCAGGCTCCGTCAGATCAGCCTTTACCTTTCACGCCATTTGCCATCCTCTGAAATGCTCTTGCTTATTCATGTGTTTGATTATTATCCATTTTTTCCGCTGGAGTCTAAGTCTCATGATGCCAGCGGTCTTGTCTACGAGGACTTGAAGATTTCGGGCACTGGTGACACCACGTTCAGGACACCCCCTCTCCCCTCCTGCCAGACCTAAAAAAGTTTGACCTGAGGTTTCTACACAGCCCAGTCTCCCGACCACAGAGAACTGATCACACGGATGTCCCTTTCCCTGGGACACCCACCACTCTTCATAAATGGGGAGAGATCGTGTCAACGGATTGGCAGAGGTGCAGGCCATGCTCTGAGAATCTGGTAACGCAAATGATTCAGAGCAATGCTTGAAATTCACACCCATCTACTCCTTTTGTATTTTGTAACATCACATGCATGAAATTGATCACCCCCAAATGATATATACACATACATTTTATATAGTGTTTCCCCAAAAATAAGACCTATCCATAACGTAAGCCCTAATAGGATTGCTAAGCATGTGCGCAATAGAAGCCCTACCCCGAAAATAAGCCCTAGTGACGGGCGTGGCTGCGCAGCGCATCTGCACAACCCGTGCATTTCGTCTCGGAGGAGGAAAGAAGACGAGCAGCCCTTCTCATCTGCCCCATGAGAGCTCTATTGATCGACAGGAGAGATTGGGGCCAATGGTTCTAAAGGAAATAGAGTCACAAGAAATTCAGGATGGAATTCGGGGTTTGGAGAGTTATGATGATTTTCCAGAAGAAGATGACTTAACTATATTTGAATAAACGTAGATTGTTGTACCGTACTTAAAAAAAAATAACACATCCCCTGAAAATAAGCTCTAGGGTGTCTTCTTGAGGAAAAATAAATATAAGACCCTGTCTTATTTTCGAGGAAACACGGTATATATCCATGTTGGTGTATATATATATATATATATATATATATATATATATATATATATATATTGTTTATTGTTTATTTATTTCCATTTTGTTACCAGTGAAATTAAAAGAATGTGTAAAGGAGTCAAAGTGAAAAGGCCAAGGAATGATCTAGAAGCGCCGCCCAGATGGGGTGGTGCCCCGAGTGCTTTACACACACTGATGTTCCCATGCCTTGATGCCGAAAGCCCTTTTCAATTGTTTTTTTGTTGTTTTTTGTTTTTCCCCCATTCTGATCTGTTCACTGGGAAATTGAAGGACACTTAAAACCTAAAATTTCGAAACCAGGCTACTTTGGATCCTTCCTTTAAAATACTTTGCAAGAGTGGAGCTGACGCAGTGTGTTAAATGGAAGAGCTGGTCAGAAACCAGCTTGCTTCCAGTTGTGCGTACCCTCCACCATGTTCATCATAATTTTACTGTTAGATAGTACATTCACTTCAGCATGCTCATATTTTTTTAAATTTCAAAAGCACATTTACTTTTGTAAAGTTAGGTATAATTGGGCGAGTAACTACAAACACAGAGCAGTTGCAGCATGTCCAAAAGATACATACCAACAGCCACCTGCAGCTTTATAAAGGTATAGACAGCGTGTTAATTCACCATCAGCTTGATCACATTTTGGAAAGAAATATTTGGCCGGGCGCGGTGGCTCACGCCTGTGATCCTAGCACTCTGGGAGGCCGAGGCGGGCGGATTGCTCGAGGTCAGGAGTTCGAAACCAGCCTGAGCGAGAGCGAGACCCCATCTCTACTATATAAATAGAAAGAAATTAATTGGCTAACTAATACGTATAGAAAAAATTAGCCGGGCATGGTGGCGCATGCCTGTAGTCCCAGCTACTCGGGAGGCTGAGGCAGGAGGATTGCTTGAGCCCAGGAGTTTGAGGTTGCTGTGAGCTAGGCTGACGCCACGGCACTCACTCTAGCCTGGGCAACAAAGCGAGACTCTGTCTCAAAAAAAAAAAAAAGAAAGAAAGAAATATTTATATGTATGCGCAGAAAAAAAGGACAGAAGGAAGTTGTTAACAGTGGTTATCTCTCGGCGGTAGAATGTCTATGTAACTTTAAAAAATTCTTTGTATAAGTTTTCTAAAATGAACATGTGTCATTTTCCAAAAAGAAAAAAATAAAAGCAAAAGCAAGAAAAGGCTCAGTGGTGTACGTGTCTGTATGTGTCTAGCGCTCGATGCTTGGATACTGTTATGAAAACCTGAAATACCTTGAACTGTCTCGTGACGCAGGCTTGTCCCACGTCACATAAACTCCAGCGAAAACAGCTTCCGGGAGCTTGTCACTGCAGTGATACGTGCAGCATCGAGCCCGTTTACAGGACTGTGCAGGTTAATGCTTTGCTTTGAAGGGGGGAAAAAAATCGTTCCGCAGCTTCACAGGAAAAGGATATCCGCCCTGTAGCTTGCAAGGAAACTGGAGACAGTGCTTTATAAAATATGTATGAGCCGCAAGCCGAGGAGAAACCCATCCGAGGTGTCAGTGTATTTTGACACGTCAGTTCCAAACACAATACCGTCGGGGCCTTCGGGATTTGGAAAGACTGCCTGGCACAAGACGTGGGGTGAGACGTTGTAGCAAGTAAGTCCAAGAACCTCACCGGTTCAGGCCAGGATAGGCATTTCTCTCGTATGCTTCTTCTTTTTTTTTTTTTTGAGACAGAGTCTCGCTTTGTTGTCCAGGCTAGAGTGAGTGCCGTGGCATCAGCCTAGCTCACAGCAACCTCAAACTCCTGGGCTCAAGCCATCCTCCTGCCTCAGCCTCCCGAGTAGCTGGGACTACAGGCATGCGCCACCACGCCCGGCTAATTTTTTCTATATATTTTTAATTGGCCAATTAATTTCTTTCTATTTTTAGTAAAGACAGGGGTCTCGCTCTTGCTCAGGCTGGTTTCGAACTCCTGACCTTGAGCAATCCGCTCGCCTCGGCCTCCCATCTCATATGCTTCTTATTCTTCTGTGCAACTCTACCCCGACCGAACAGGCGACGTGCTTTGTGACCCGCAAGCCCACACGCAGCGCCAGCTCTCTCTTGAGTCCTGGCACTCGGTGTTGGATGCGCAGTGCATGCCAGCCACTGTTCTAATGCTTCAGTCCTACAGTATCACTCAGATAATCCTCAAAAACCAGGCTCTGAAGCAGAGACGGTTACTGTCCCCATTTAACAGATGGAAAAACTGAGGCAACTTATTCCAGTTCACATAAGTGAAGAGCCAAGTGAGTACGACTCCAGTGCCTTCATTCTCACCATCTATTATGCCTCTCAAGTAG